TTTTTTTTTTTCCCCCAGGAAGTGCGCAACGTTGGGCCAACGTTGTTGGCGTGTGGTTGGGAACCGGGTGGACCAACGTTGAGCCAATGATCCACGTTGACTGGATTGGTCCATAAATCCGACATCGGCAGGGTGGTGTGTCTGGAAGTGGTGGGGGAGTATCTCACGCGGTGGAATGGGAAGCAGAGTTGCAATGTGGGCCTGCAACGCACATGCACATTGTCTCTCTCTCTCTCTATATATTTTTCCAAATTGTTTTTGCTGGTCATGCGACACCGCTGTGATTAGGCCAGAAGTTCACATTTGTGGTTGACAGGTTTTCCATGGCAATCAATATACCAGCCATAAAGATAGTTTTTTTTTACATGAAAGTATACAGTTAATAGTATAAATGGGCTGATAATTATTTTCCAAGTGAAATAATGAAATCACATTAGTTATTATATACATTAAGCATTTTCTACAATACTTGGATATTGATTTTTTATTTACCGAGTAGGCCACGCCAATGTGAACTTTATAACGAGCCATATTTTCAACGCTATCCGAGATGGAAGCGCCAACGGCAGAGAGCCACACTTAAGTCGTGAGAGGCCAATATCTCCTGCCTGCGTAGTGTGGGTGACTTTGGGAGGGCTATCCAGGCAAAGGGTAGGGCAAGGGGCCGGGTCTCAGGCCTATTCTAGCCTCTACAGTACTCTCAATATCATTAGGGGCCCTGCGGTGGCAAGATAAACAGGATGCCATGGTTTTCAATCTCGACCCTGACGCCTGCTGTATATTTGGAGTTTGGCTGCGATACATTTACACGCGATAAGCCACTTCGTTGAGCTATAATTTGTGGCGAGGTCGCTTGTGAAAAAAATAGCTAGAAAGCTCAGTGGGGCTTTCCCTGGTAAAATAATAATGCATCGTTAAGTTTCAGGATCATTAATCGGGCTCTGACAGCTGGGCAGTGGATGGCGCGCTGCGCTACGAACCTGGCGACCGCTGCTGTTTAATTTCCAGCAACAGCTAACATCAGTGGCGATAAGTTTCTGGAACCGATCACAATCCATCACCCCCCCCCCACCCCGACAACTTGCTGACCCCGTGGCCCCCACAAGACACCGGTGGAAAAGAGCTTCATAGCTCATCGGATTCATCCGGTCTAACTAAAGATTCTGATTCTAACGAAGGGATTTACACATATGTATATATATAATAGCACGCGCCGTGATTGACTATCGTGCTGTTTGCTCAGTAATGTGCAACTTGTGCGCGAAACGGAATCGGATGGAGAGGGATGCGACGCTTAACGCGCGCGGGGCGTTTCGTGGCGTCTGATGGGTGTAAGGAAACTCCGGGGCCCCGAGGCCTTTTGCCAACAACATCGAGCTGAAGCTGGAGACTTATTTTCCTGCTTTACCTCGAAAAGCCGCAATACCTCACAGTTCATAAAGCACTGTCTGTGGGCTTCTGTAGAGAGAGGAGGCAGCTTACATTAACCAAACGAGGCCCTTCTGTGGGATGACGCCATACAATAAACAAATGAGGGTGGATTGTAAAGTATTCCAAAGGAGCTTGCGTGGGTTTATGTAAAATATATATTTCTAAAGATAAAGGCGCAGCCCTGCAATTGCTTTTATCACGCCACTGCTGGCAGAAGGGCCTCCCTCTGGAGACTCTCTCTCTCTCTCTGCAGGCTATTTGGACTTCTCTTCCTACGCAGGTCATGTCTTTGAACACGTGTGAATACCCACATTTTACCCCACCACAACGCAACCTGCCCATCAACTGCGGTGTACCCACTTCATACTGCTGGATAGGCAGGGTGAATCTTAAGAAACGCGGACCGGAGTTTCAACTCTCGCCCTCACAGATTCACCCCCCCCCCCTCCCCACCCTGGCTTGCAACCGAAGTGTCAACACCAAAGAGCTCACGGCAGCCACTGACGTTAAAGACTCGAACCACCACCACCAAACAACTGGGATCTTGTCGACACACACGCCGGGAGCCGTGTGTGTTTGTGTGTGTGTGTCTGTGTGTCACGGTGTGTGTGTCTGTGTGTCACGGTGTGTGTGTCTGTGTGTCACGGTGTGTGTGTCTGTGTGTCACGGTGTGTGTGTCTGTGTGTCACGGTGTGTGTGTTTGTGTGTGTGTCTGTGTGTCACGGTGTGTGTGTGTCTGTGTGTCACGGTGTGTGTGCGCGTGTGTGTGTCTGTGTGTCACGGTGTGTTTGTGTGTGTGTGTGTGTCTGTGTGTCACGGTGTGTGTGTCTGTGTGTCACGGTGTGTGTGTCTGTGTGTCACGGTGTGTGTGTCTGTGTGTCACGGTGTGTGTGTCTGTGTGTCACGGTGTGTGTGTTTGTGTGTGTGTCTGTGTGTCACGGTGTGTGTGTGTCTGTGTGTCACGGTGTGTGTGCGCGTGTGTGTGTGTGCCACGCGCTGTCCGACGCGAGTTTGACGGCACTGCGGATTTCGGCGAGGGGATGAACATTTTTTTTTCAATGTCGCTCCAGTTGTCACTCCCCTCCTCACTCCCCCACTCCACCCCCTTCTCATTACCAATGCTTAAATCTCGCATTGCCATACCCCGCCCTCCTCTGCTGCGGGTTACCCCTTGGGGCGCTGTAAGGCAAAAAAAACAAAAAGAGTTCATAAACCGTCAATAATCGCAGAACGTCGCGTAGCAGTACCAAAGAATTGTGGCTATAACGCGCGTGTTTTGTTTGTTTGTTCTTCCGCGACAAACTTGACAACAACAACAACAACGTGACCCCCCCCCCCCCTGCTCGCGCATTAATTCGACACCTTCGCGAAATCGCTGTCGTCGTCGTCACGTTCGAATAACGCGCCACGTGGCTCGAGTCAATGGCATTCACGGTGTAGTGTTGAGGCTCGCGATCGTGACACTAAGGCGAGGTGGGTTGGAGGTGGGGAGGGGGTTGGTCCTAACACGCGTGCCCACAGCGAGACGACGAGTTGCACAAACCGGCTGCGCGCAAACCGAATCGCTCACACGCGGACGTCTCTGCAACCAGTTGCGCGCAATTGGGTTGCTCACAGGTAGACAACTCTCACTCGAAAGCAAATTTTTGTTGCGCAACCGATGCGCTCACGTGTGCACCCGGCATTACGGCTCGAGTTCGGATGGCCTAAAACGATAACTATTCTGCCCCATTGTCTCTCGTCGTTGTTTGGTGTAATGTTAGTCGTCAAAGTCTCCAAGCTCACACCAGCAAAGGGGGGGGGGAACGTTGGCTCCTCTCCATCGACGCACCCCCCCCCTCCGAACGAGCTGTGAATAAATTCCACATTCTCATGGCGAGGGGTGGGTATCTCCAGAGGATGAGCGCAGGGGACTTCTGCGAAGTAGTACTCATTTTATCGACCCCCCAGTGGGATGATGAGCCGAGTTTGACCTCCCGACCTCGGGCCACGATGACAGCCGGCCAATATGAGGACATAAGTAGAGGGGTTTCCAAAAAGGCGATGGCAAATGATCAGGACTACGATTAGAACTAACGCGAAGGGCCAGGGGTTTTGGGTTAACTGCTCCAGCATGGGACTCCGCTTCCGAACGAAATCCAAAGGGGGGTTCCACACGCGTTGCTGTGCACGTAGCAGGCAACACTCACTTTGAGGTCTTTAGCAATTCGTTTGCCACACGGAGGTCATGGAATAAAAATCCGCACCTGCTGCTGTCCGACCCCAACTACAAACACGGCCTAACATGCTCCCCTCTCCTCGTCTGCTGCGAGAGTGTAAGTAACACCCCCAAGAGAGAGAGAAGTACTTACTGGATTCTAAGACGCACCCCCCATCCCCCATCATCCCCCATCCCCCCCCCCCCCAGAAAAAGTTCAAGTGTTTATTTTTAAAGGATAAAACAAAAATTACTCGGCGTTTCATAATTGGGAGTATACGGTATTGGTATGGGGCTAAATGTCTTCCGGAAGATGGGGGAGGACGAATACAACGCGTTTGACAACGGGGAGAAGAGAAATGACTTTCGGGAAAGATCATTAACGAGGAGCTTGGCGCTGTCTTCTCTTCTCTGGGTGGTCAATGTATTGCGATGGTGGAGAACCATCTTTCGGAAGATGCAATTTTTACCAGATTTTAAGGCTTGCCTTTAACTTTTTTTTATTTAAAATAAGAGGGGGGGGGGGGGGTGGGTGGGGTGAGGGGGTGGTGTGCGGGGAGTGCATCATAATCTGGAGAATACAATATACAACCGGATGATAAAAATGCCAACACCAATAACGAAGAGCAAAACGCTTCTTACGAGTAATGGGCCCGGTAGCCCGACACTGGACCCACCAGAAAACAAAGCGGCTTTCGAGAGACATCTCGGGACATTTCAATTCACCAGCCACAGATCCACAACACCGTCGACAGATTGGCTGCCTGCCCGCGCGATAACGGAGTCGCGCAAGTCGACGAGCTACGCTGCGAGAGAACAGTGCAGCAATGCCCGTGGATGCCTTGAATCAGTGCGATGTTTTCCCAGCGAGATGCAGTTCTATCACCACTGCTGCTTGCTCTTTAGCCCCCCCCCCCCCCCCCCCCCCCCCCCCCCCCATTGTGAATTCGACCTCGACTAGCAACTTCACGAGCAACACCCCCTCACTCCCTCCCTCCCTCCCAGATCCCCGTAGTTTCTCTCGACGTTGTCCAAGGTTAGCTTTCAAAGGGGGGCATTAGTGTTACGATTGGCGCGAGGCTTTCGAGGACACGGCGTGAGAGCCGAGCACGAGAGGTCGTCATGGGGGCGACGGGAATGTCGGCGCTTCCGCTGGTGGAGGGAGCGAATCCCAAGTCGAGGGTTGGGAGTTCAAACCTTGGTTTGGGAGGGGGGGACCAGGCCCATTCGTCGCTCCGGGGTCGATAAAATAGGTACCACTTCGTGGGGAAGTCTCAACTGTTGTTGTTGTTGTCACGTGGGTATACTTGCCCCTGCCGTAGGAACGTGGAATTGGGCTGCAAACAAGAAAGTAGCACTGCCTCAATGCTCATTTTAAGCAGGATATCGTTGACTTTTTTTCACGCAAATGTACCAGTGTCCAAGGAGCATCAGTGATCAGTGCTGGGCAGTAATGAATGAACGTTATCATATTACGATGAATCACCACAACGATATTACTGTATTGTAGCAAAAAAGCTATGCATTCAATCTTGATCTGAAGCTTTCGTGACTGCAGGAATCCATACTTTTGAGTTCTTTCGGTAAAGTCACGTGGGTAGAAAAAGTTATCGATCACGACGTTTCGATTGCCACACAAGCGACCTCTCACCTCCGAAGACGGTTGCTTGTGTGGCGATCGAAACGTCGCGATCATTTATTTTTTCCTACCTACGTGACTTTACCGAACTAAAGAGTGTAAGCTATGCATTATAACGGTTGCTTGTTTGTACTCAAATTGCCGCTACCTTAGCATGCACGGGCTGATGCACGACTACCTATTACTTTTATTATTCTTGGTTCTTTCGGTAAAGTTTCCCTTCTACGTGGTGACTTTACCGAAAGAACCAAGGATATGAATCCCTGCAGTCACGAAAGCTTTAAATCAAAATAACTTTTATTGTTTTAATTACTCGTAAAACAACTTTTAAAAAAGGGGGGGGGGAATTTACGGCGACATCGGCAGCCCGAGTTGCTGCCACCACACAACAGCGTTCACATAGGTCATCCACCAAGGGCAGCGGGGGGGGGGGGGGCGCGTTGCATCGAAAGCACACCACCGCCACGCTCCGAGAATTAAACCAACCTCGCGCAAGAAGTCAAGAGAGAGAGTAAATCGTAAAAGTAATCGAGTGAGGAGATCACATGACTCTGTAATCTCAGAACACAGCTAATACCAGACTATGTTAAGTTACTTCTAAAATGCCGAGTAGCCGGCAAGGGCAGAGAGACGGAGAGAGAGAGGGAGTACTCTCCTTAAGTCTCCCTCCCAATCACTGGCGATGCATGGAGGAAGCCAGTACGAGCCTTCAGGGCGAGGCGGGCGTCAGCAAGTGGGCGAGCGTTTGCCGGGGAAGCCCGTGGCATCGGAGGAGTGACGGACCGAATTGAAGGCCGCTCCGTCGCTTCGGGAGAACCGACGCCGAGGGGTCCCGTGCCGCCACCAACGTCGTCATCGTCGCCAACATCCCGGGCCTCGCCGCCAACGACGCTCGAAGCAAAACTTCCCCCACGGCAGCTGGGGGCGACAAAACTCCACCGGAGTGCCGCGGGCGCCACGCGCAGCCGAGAGACGCCGTGCGATCCGGTGACGTGGTAAATGGGAGTGCTGTGGTTTGGTTTTTCCCGTATCGCGATGCGATGTTTGTGTGGTTCGGTGGTTATTTCGGTGTGATGTTGTATGCCGGTCTAAATGTGGTGTAGTGTGGTCATGTAATGAGGATCTCGTGTGGCGTGGCTGCGTGGTAATCAAGAGGAAGAGCTGTGGTAGTGTGGTATCATGACGAGGTGGCGTGGTGTCGCACGCTTAGGTTTGGTACTGTGGGGCAAGCAGGACGACGGCGTTCCTCGGCAAGACGCGGCGCGGCGCGGCACAATGCGGCAACATCACGTGGCACGGAGCGGCGTGGCTCGGCATCACGTGGCACGGAGCGGCGTGGCTCGGCATCACGTGGCACGGAGCGGCGTGGCTCGGCATCACGTGGCTCGGAGCGGCGTGGCTCGGCAAATTGGCTCGCGTCGCGCACCTCCTCGTGAACCCCCCTTCCGAGAACATCATCACAACCACGCTGCCCTAGCGGCCGCCCATCGTCGTCAAAGTTCCAAATCTTCTGCTACAATCCGCGGCGGGGGAGGGGGAAGGGAGATACAAAAGCACCGCACCGTGACCGACGTCGCAAGGGCCGAGTGGTGTCCTGGGGGCGGGGGGGGGGGACGCAGTCGATTGGGGGGCGCCGTTCTCCCCTCCGCTGCCGATGGTCCCCCGCCGTTCGTCGCTTGCCATCGTCATTTCCGCGTCCGGTTCCGGCCCTGTATATTGTTCCTTTTCTTCGCCCGTCTGGATTGTGGATTTTTGTTACTTACAATCGCCCAGAGGTGTTGCTTCTTGTTTACGTCTCCCCTCCCCCCCCCGCCCCTCCCCCTTCAATCGCACGGCACGCACGCGAAGCGAATGGGCGTTGGCGGAAATTGGCGCCACGGCGAATTGGCGGACAGAAACACCCCCCCCCCCCCGCCCACCACCACCACCCCCCGTCCCCCCCAACCAAAACAAAACCCATCATAATTAAAATAATAATAATAAGCAGAACGTTTCACAAACACTATTCGAACAATGTTAACAATATCAACAATAACACTTTTGTTGTTTAAGACAGTTCTCTTCTGCTCGGAAAACGCCAAACCCGCAGAGCAGAGGGGAACGGACATGTGCGCCCAGAAAAGCAGCGAGCACGAGGTGGGGCCCTGGGGGGCCCTGGGGGGCCCTGGGGGATTTTGGGAGGCTGTGGGTGGGGGGGGGGGTAGTCGAGTGGAGTTTGACGGGCAGGTGGTCGAGCCGGGAGGGCCGCTGGGAGCCACGGAGGAAGTGAGCGGGCCACTCCCCCCCCCCCCCACCCCGACGGCTGAGTATAACAAAGCCGGGCCCTCGCGTCAAAATGGTTTTGTTCGGCGGCGTCGCGGGGAGAACACGGCAAGATGAGCTGGGGTCGGGGGAGGGGTGGGAGGGGTGGGGCGATGGACGACGGTGGCGGCGCCAATCGCGAGCGGTCGGAGCCGAGAGGTGGCGGGGGAAGGGGGGGGGGACGGGGGTGGGTGATCCGGCGTCACAGAGTCAGCGTGAGCGACGACGATCGGTCGCGTTTCTCGGCGCCCGCGGCTCAGGGCAGCGGCCGGATGAGGTAAAGCTTGTCGCCCTGGCTTGAGGTGAAGATGGGGGCCCGCTTGTAGTGCTCGATGAGGTCGGCCATGCTGCTGAAGCGCCGCTGGCCGATGCAGAAATCGTTGCCGTTCTGCTGCACCTTGAAGTGCTTGTTCTTGCCCGTCGCCTTCAGGGAGACGGAGAAGTCTGTGGGCTATGGGGGGGAGGGGGGGAGCGAGAGGAAGCGTGGGAGGGAAGAGTTGGAGGGAGTGTGGGAGGGAGAGTGGGAGGGAGCGTGGGAGGGGGAGTGGGAGAGAGTGGGAGGGAGCGTGGGAGGGGGAGTGGGAGGGAGAGTGGGAGGGAGTATGGGAGAGGAGAGTGGGAGGGAGCGTGGGAGGGGGAGTGGGAGGAGAGTGGGAAGGGAGCGTGGGAGGGAGAGTGGGAGGGAGTATGGGAGGGAGAGTGGGAGGGAGCGTGGGAGGGGAGAGTGGGAGAGAGTGGGAGGGAGCGTGGGAGGAGGAGTGGGAGTGAGTGGGAGGGAGAGTGGGAGGAAGAGTGGGAGGGAGCGTGGGAGGGAGTGGGAGGGAGAGTGGGAGGGAGCGTGGGAGGGAGCGTGGGAGTGAGCGTGGGAGGGAGTGTAGGAGGGAGAGTGGGAGGGAGAGTGGGAGGGAGAGGGGAGGGAGAGTGGGAGGGAGTGGGAGGGAGAGTGGGAGGGAGCGTGGGAGGGAGCGTGGGAGGGAGCGTGGGAGGGAGAGTGGGAGGAGAGTGGGAGGGAGTGGGAGGGAGCGTGGGAGGGAGCGTGGGTGAGAGAGGAAGGGAGAGTGGGAGGGAGCGTGGGAAGGAGAGTGGGAGGAGAGTGGGAGAAGAGTGGGAGGAGGAGTGGGAGGGAGCGTGGGAGGGGGAGTGGGAGGGAGTGGGAGGGAGAGGAAGGGAGAGTGGGAGGGAGCGTGGGAGGGGGAGTGGGAGGGAGCGTGGGAGGGGGAGTGGGAGGGAGCGTGGGAGGGGGAGGGAGAGTGGGGAGGGGAGCGTGGGAGGGAGAGTGGGAGGGAGCGTGGAAGGGGGGGAGTGGGAGGGAGAGTGGGAGGGAGCGTGGGAGGGAGCGTGGGAGAAAGTGGAAGGGAGTGGGAGGGAGAGTGGGAGGGAGCGTGGGAGGGGGAGTGGGAGTGAGCGTGGGAGGGAGAGTGGGAGGGGGGAGAGTGGGAGGGAGCGTGGGAGGGGGAGTGGGAGGGAGTGGGAGGGAGAGTGGGAGGGAGCGTGGGAGGGAGAGTGGGAGGGAGGGAGTGGGAGGGAGTGGGAGGGGGTGGGCGGGAGAGTGGGAAGGGAGCGTGGGAGGGAGCAGTGGGAGGGAGCGTGGGAGGGAGAGGAAGGGAGAGTGGGAGGGAGAGTGGGAGGGAGAGTGGGAGGGAGAGTGGGAGGGAGAGTGGGAGGGAGCGTGGGAGGGAGCGTGGAGGGAGAGTGGGAGAGAGAGTGGGAGGGAGAGTGGGAGGGAGAGGAAGGGAGAGTGGGAGGGATAGTGGGAGGGAGCGTGGGAGGGATGGTTTCTAACACTTTTGTCCGGTGCTCTTATTTCAGATCCGTATGCACGGCACTACATTTTGCTGCACTGCCCTCTGCTGCTAATGACGTAAATCCACAGGCAAAGTGAATTCTGGCTCAAGCATTGAGACTGTGTTCAGGCCCCATTTACAGCCCTTAGCAAGTGGTGGGAATTCCACACGCCGATACCGGGGGGGGGGGGGGGGAACCCACTACTGACCTCGCAAAGCTGCTACTCATTTTATCCGATGACAACGGGAAGGGTTTCTTAGCAAACGTGCCACTGTTATCTATTGAAACCAGCCCCGCTGGCCTTGTGCGTGTGCGAGCGCGTGTTATTTGCCATTCGTGCTCACCGACGACTCGCTGTTGCGCACCAGGAAGTCTCCGTCGACTCCGCGCTCATTGAGGGCGTCTTCCGCCTGCTGTCGTGTCACGTGGCCATAGTACCAGGGCCGCCCGGCAAACTGGCCCGACGATGCCGGGCCCAGGCAGCCGGCCAGCACCGCCGCGCTGCATGCATCGGCGTGCGCGCGCACACACGCGCTAAGGGACAAAAGATCCAACCCCACCCCTGCCATGTAGCCCCCACAGACTGCTGGTGCGAGGAGCATAATAAACCATCGCCGCGCGAACTCCGGTCGTCACCCTCGCAGCAGCGGCGGCTTTTGGCTGGGCCATCGAACAAAGGCGGCGGTCACCGCATCATCGCGCGGCGCTTTCAGATGCGCTTCTGCGGCCGTCTGGAACGCTCTTCGTTCCGATATTAGGGAGCCGCGGAGAACGATTGTTTAAGGGTGCTTTATACATTTTCATTATTATTATTGAATCCAAATTGAAAACTCGTTTCTTTGTAACTACTTTTTGTGTTTAGTCTGTGGTTCTTTCTCCGCACCTCCGATTAACACAGCTGGCTATGTACAGTGCGAAAGAAGTTCAACATTCATACAACTGCCCAAGGTGCACACAACTCTGTCGTGTGCCTCCAACAGACCGTCTCGAATCGTTTCCTGAATCCCCAGTGGTAGACTTTTATTCCTCCGTTATTTACGTTATTAAGTTCAGCTCCCCACCAGCCCAACAGCCAACACACAAACAAACGCGGTGGTGGTGGTGGTGTCCAGCGTGTGGCCGCGTGTGTGCCCGCGTTACCTGTGAGCTCGCTGGCCGGGAGAGTCGGGCACCACCTGCACGTAGTTGCGTGGCACCAGCCCGACGCGCCCGTCCGACTTGCGGCAGCGCCACCACTCGGGATCGTCCTCGGGCTTCTCCAGCACGTCCATGACCTCCCCCTGCGTGGCACCGCGACACGCACACACGGGGGCCGGCGAGCGGGGTGGTGCACACAAACGAGCGGACGAGGGGGCAGTGAGAGGAGAGCTGTAAGGGAGTGTAAGAGGGAGGAGGAAGGGAGTCATACTTGGCGCCTACGACGAGGGTAAAACGAGGGATGTCGGCGCTCACACTGGAATCCCAACCACAGAAAATATTCCCACTTCCGCGCCAGACAATTTTTTCCAGGCTCAATATTCCCCATGGGATTTCCCGCTCAAGTGTTTTCCACGAGTACTCTCTGCCCCTCAAGTGCATCCCCATGGGAGTTCCGCCCCTCGTGCATCCCCATGGGAGTTCCGCCTTCCTTGCGTGCGTTCCACGGGAGTTCCACACTGATCTCTACCTTGTTGAAGCCGAGTTCCTCGTCGCTGCCGGAGCTGAAGGGGTACATGGCGTGCACCACGTGCAGCACCTGTGGGCACGCTGGGGAGACGCACGCTCCGCCGCGGTTTCCTACACACCCACGCGCACACACAAAAAATATACGTAACACACACACGTAAATATATCACATATATATAACACACACGCATATACACAAAGACAACGCTTCCCTCAATAACATTTCACATGCTGTAAGTGCTGCTCGCAGGTTTACAAGGGGGTAGTGTGCCCTGAAATACGCCTCGCCGTCTTTGTCTCCCCAGTGCTAAATGTTTTCACACTGCAGTAGGTACACATGCGGCTGAGTGTACCTAGAGGAGGCCCACGATCGGTTGGTTCAGATATCGTTCACTACACCGCTCGTTAGCCGAGGCCGGGAATCAAACTCGGGTCGCCAGGTTCGTAGCAGCAGCTTTCATTTCAGACGAGGAACCTTCAAGCGGCAGGCGAACCTACCACACGTTCCCCACAAAAAATCCACGTCGTCTCTCTGGGGGTGGCACGGTGGTGAAGCGGTCACAATTAGGCCTCACGGGAAGAAGCGCCCGGGTTCAATTCCAGACTCTTCTTTGTCTTGTGGAGTTTGTATGTCCACCCCACATACCCCCACCTCCACCCACTCCCACCGCCCCCTAAACCCACCCCACTGTTTTCACGGGTTTCCTCCGTGTTCTCCAGTCCTCTTCCCAAAGCTAACAACAGCACACAACGTAACCGGCGTTGGCCAAATAAATCCCCAATGCTGAAATACTGCCTGCGAATTACCCACGTGGGACGATGTACATAGCAACACGTGCCCCCGCCCCTGCAGCGGAAAAAAACATGGCAGAAAACCTCGTGACAATAAATAAAAAACGAGGTGTCTCGAGGCTTTCCTCGGTAAAAGAAGCGCAAATAATAAACATGAGAGAGTTGGGGGCAGCGTTCGCAAAGGGAGTCGATGCAGCTTCCGCGCTCGCTGGATCTTCGCAAGAGGCACGCGGTAACGACGAGTCCCCGCCACCCCCCCCCCTCCACCGGCCGCCCCGCTGTCTGGCACGGTGGGCGCGTGGCCGGTCACGCTCTCACTTCTAACTGTGGTGTCCCCTACGCGTTTAACCGATTTTGCGGGCGCGGCCGCGCAATGATGCGGGCAAAATATCTATCCCCCGGGCCCTTGGCCGACACGACGCTGGCCGAATAAAATTTAAATCGTCACGCTCGCCACAAACGTTTAATGATGTGCCAATTTTTATTTTCGTTGTTGTTTCGGCTTGACGTCGCTTGTCAAAGTCGACTTGCAATTCTAGCAAACATTTTTTTTTTAGCAGATACTAAAATAAACAATTTTTATTTGAGCCATGTAAGGCCCACTGAGCTATGTGTAAGCTCTTTTTCAGAAGCGACCTGGCCACAAATGACAGCTCAACGAAGTGGATCATCACGTGGACATTTATAGCAGCCAAATACTCGAAACGCGTGATGTTGATTCTAAATGTGGAGGGGAAAAATGGGAGAAAAATCCACGCGACCACACGGCGAACGTAAAAACTCTAAAATATACAGCAGGTGTCAGGGTCGGGATCGAACCCACGACCTCTCCTGTATACCAGGCGATGTAGTTAACGTCTCCTAGCCACCGACGCTCTAAACTGCGTCGTCAAAGCATCTTTTCGGGAAAAACAACTATCCGCGCAAGCTAGGAAATAAAACCCAGGGAGACAGAAAAACCCGCTGGGATGGGTGGGCACGCACGCCGTAACGTCTCGTATCTCACCGTTGGTGGCCGACAGCGCCGCGGCGAGCGCCGTGCCCAGGCGAGGAGACGCAGCGCCGGCGTCGAGACGCCCCATCCCTCCTCCTCCTCCTCCTCCCCCTCCTCCTTCCACGACCTCCTCCACCACGTAGTTGGAAGGGAACCAGCCTTCGCGGCCGTCGCACGACCCCCGCCACCAGCCGTCGTTGCACTTCTCCTGCACGGTGACGCGAGCGCCCTGCGTGGGACGGCGACGGCAAAAAACAAACGCGATAGCGCAAATGCCACGCGGTGCAAAACACAGCGCTGGGCCGTGTGGATCTACAACGCCGCACTGAGCGACACACAAAATAAAACTCGGGAGGGCTTGATGAACCACAGACAGGCGGGGAAGGCAGCAACACGGCGAGCCGGCGCCAACAATTGCCCAAGTTCTGCCGTCCTCTATACATGAAGGTGTTACCGGCCAACTAATGATTGTTTGCATTTGGGACGAAAACGGTGCACCTGGAGGAATCCAACCCGTGCGGGAGTGCGACACTATTTCACGCAGGCGGAACCGGTGTTTGTCCACATTTCTACCGTGCCGCCTTTTCTCCTGGCGAGCCAGGGTAAGCGGCCACCTCGACGCCCACGGGAAGGGAGTTCCACAACGACCGCGTGATCCACTAACCCTCCACTCCAAAATGCTGCGTTACGGGCGCGCCCAGCCACCACCAGCGCCTGGGTTGTTGCCATGTGCCAACGGCAAAAATCTCTTCGCGATAGCGGTGGTGCCCTTTGAAGGCAGAGCAGCGGGCAGGGCGTTACGTGCTTTTCTAAACACGATAAAGGTTTTTGTTCTTGGGTTAAATCGCGTAAATAGGAATGTGTCGTTAACCCACCACCACCACCACCAGACACGGCCAATTATTAAGGTTCGTCACGTAAACAAAACGTGCCAATAAGTGAATACTTCAGCACGCCGGCGTGTTGGAGAGTAAACCCACAACATTTACAATTTGAGCATGACGTTTCGCCGGCGACTACAACCGTCAGCTCCATCAGACGACTTTCCAGATTTGTGAAGACGTCGTCCAGTTTGTCTTCAATAGAGTCAAGGTGATGTCATCGCTGTGAGCCTATCGGGTGCGAAGCCCTGCCCCACATCATCCCATCCTCCGTCCACCCCCCACCCCCTCACCTTAATGAGCGAGAGCTCGTCATCGCGTTCGGCCGCGTAGTTGAACTTGACGATGGCGGGGAGGCTGAGGGCTCGGGTGGTTTCCGTGGGGCTTCCGTCGGGCCCGGAGTCCAACGTGGAACTGGGGCTTGCCGCCGCGCCTCCCTCGCAGTTGCTAGGCTTGCGTTTCACCTTGCCGATGCCTGGCGCACATGCAAGTGGCGGAAGGAAGGGAGCAGAAGGAATAGGAGTCGGGAATAGGAGTCGGGAATAGGAGTCGGGGACAGCAGTGGTTCATCACGAAGTCCCCCCCCTTTAAATATGACTGCCAGCCACCCCCCTCTAACGTCCTGCCCTCCCTGAAGGCAGGAAATCCCCCCCCCCGCCCTCAACTACCTAGCCACGCCCATCATGACGCGGCTGATCGCAATGCCGAAGACATCAAGCCCCCGTCGGATTCCGAAAGTCTAAACAAAGATTCAGATGCCAAACCCTCGTACATTAGCTCCTGTCCAGCGGCACACGTGGGAAGGAAGGCGAGATCTCCCAACTCTTCCACCACCGCCCCAACTATTTTAATGCCATCCGATTAGTCTAGTAATCGAACTGATAATTGGGAGAATGATTGAGATTACATAGCTCTAACTATTTACGCTTTCATAGCTTCTAAATCTCTTTTACACAGCAGGTAGGGGTGATACGCAAGGGAGCCCATTTCACCGGCGTGTCTGATAACGCACCTCTGCATTGCTTGTGGACGTGTGGCCACAGTTGTGATGTGCGTGTGCTTACCCAGCATGTTCTTGACAAAGCTGCCTTTCTTGAGGCTGTTCTTGCGCTCCACGTAGTTGGATGGGACAAACCCGGTCTGGTTTTGCGCATTGCGGACCTGGGAAAGAAGGCAAGGCATTGGTATTGAGACAATCCCACGATTTCAGGCGTACATTTCAGATGCTTTAAGGATGTAAGCACTCATTGCTGTGAGCACGAAGCCAGCTTTGCACTTGTGTAGAGTATATCAACCAATTAGGACTGGAACTCGGATTGTTGTCCACAACAGTGGTGAGAATTGCTCTTCAACTAACCGGTGAGATGAGCTGAAATTATAATAGCACATTTAACGCATACATGAGTGACAATTTAATTTATTGGACTGTCTAGGGTGGTAAAGGGCCTGATGACACAAATCTGAATCTTCACGTGGCCTCATGCAAAATTAAATCGTCAATCATATAACATGGATTGCGACAAACTGAATGCGAATTAGTCCACGAGCCCAGACCAGGGATTTCATTTGCCAGGTACCACCTGACGTAGCATCGCTTTAGCGGTTCGAAACGTCTCTATGCGGGCCATTAATAGCGAACGAGGTGATAACGGTGCGAAACGAGCGGGGTTACCGAGCGATTCATTCTCATCAACTGTATATAAATAAATTGGCGCCAGTAAATTTTTGCCACCTCAGGCGGGGGTGCCGATTTTCTGCGCTGACCCATGGACTCAGGAGTAACCGTTGACATCGCGTACCTGCCACCAGGACTTCGAGTCGTCCAGGAGCCAGAGACGCTCATTCTTCTTGATGTTGAGCTCCTGCTCCTGCTGAGCAATGTAGTCATACTTGGCCACGAGGGACACCTCCTCTGCCATCTCGTCAGCCACGGTGGCGAAAGCACGGGGGGAAGGCTCTGCAGGGGAGGGAACAGGAAGCGGTCCCCGCGTCGTTTTTACTGGGCCTCGAGACAAAACCACCGGCGAATATCGCCACGCTGCTATGTGGATTCACAATCGCATCCAAGCCGGTGAATGCGCAATCCAGACACGTCAGGGGGCCACATGAGCGGCCCTCCTTCACCTCGACGGGCCGCAAGCTCGACACGGCGCTTGTGCACTCAACATGGCCCCGCGCATCGCCCTAGAGACACCGAGACCAGGCCATCACGCGGAGGGGCACCACAGAACGCAGGTTGCCCACCATTGGTGTAGTGTACAGTGTAGTGTAAAGCGTGTGTAGTGCATAGCGTAGTGTATAGCGTAGCGTATCGTGTAGCGTTTAGCAAGTGTAGTATGTAGTGCATAATGTAGTGCGGTAATGGGCAGCCCAGACGCGTGGGCCACATGAGCGGTCCTCCTTCACCTCAGTGGGGCCGGAAGTTCGACACTGTGATTGTGCACTCATCATCACGAGCCCACGCATCGCCCGAGACAGACCGGGACCAGGCCATCACGAGGAGGGGCTCCACGGGACGCATGAGGCACGCGGGCCACAGATTGCCCAACACTGATCTAAGCCTTTGACCCAAATAGTGATAATAACAACAATTGTAAATTTGGTGTTACAATAACGATTAATATATTTGGTAGAGGGATATGAGAAACGAGAGGTAGGTACATAGGTTTTCTCCTGGTGGTCCGGTTTACTTTCCACATGAATAACATACACTCACTAGTTTATATGTAGATAACATGAGAGCAATTGTTGATGGCCGGATGGTAATCATCCAGAAGTGGGTTGACGAAAGAGGTTTTTATACTTACAGCACAACATTTAAAACATGGAGATTTTTTTTAAACAAATATTGCTGCATGAGTAAAAAATGTATTAAATTTAGTTGCACATGTGGTTTGAGCATATCACTTTAATCAGTTTACCAAACTAAATATTTTGGTCTTATTTCAGAAAATCGACCAAGGTTGCCAGGATGTGTGGGCAGGTTGGCAAGAAATGTGGGGAGTTTGGAAGGTAGTGGGGGAGGATGGGGGCAGGGAGTGGGAACGATGGGGGCAGGGAGTGGGGGACGATGGGGGCAGGGAGTGGGGGACGATGGGGGCAGGGAGTGGGGGACGATGGGGGCAGGGAGTGGGGGACGATGGGGGCAGGGAGTGGGGGACGATGGGGGCAGGGAGTGGGGGACGATGGGGGCAGGGAGTGGGGGACGATGGGGGCAGGGAGTGGGGGACAATGGGGGCAGGGGAGTGGGGGACGATGGGGGCAGGGAGTTTGGGTAGTGAATGCAGAGGAGAGCCTCCTTTTTCCACCTGGTGGTAGGCAGGGATTACCCCATCAGCACAATCACACAAGCAGACTCTGCCCAATGGCGAAGCCACGATTTTCAGGTAGGGGGGGCAACCCCTCCAGCAATGAAAAATGATAGAGTCGTCGTTAGTAAGTGAGGACTTGTCCCTTGCTTTTTATTCGATGCGTGTGCGTCGATGGCACAGCCATCGATCGAGGGTCGAATTCGAACCGCGTTGTGTGATCGGCATCGCGCTCGCTGAAGGTTTTGATGCCTTCAGGGAAGTCGTGGACTGTATACGCAGCTGCGCACAATTCTGTGAGTCACTTATAACTGCTTTGCCGTTACTAATTGCCAATTATGGACTCAGACTATTGGCCTATCATCTCATAGAGTCCCTGGCACATAATAATATGCTACGCAGTGGCAGTTGGGGCCGCAAAATGCCGATTTATTACTAATGAACCCCAATGATCCTTAGGAATTAGGGATTTTGATCGGATCATTGGGGGGCCACGTGCCACCCCCCCCCCCCACTGGCTCCGCCAGAGACTTTGGCCCACCTCCAAAACAGCCACACAAAAATTACCACCACCATAAATACTACGTTAAATACTAATAATTAAACAGGTAATCTGAGTATTGGATAAATTGTTTATTTTTCACATTTGCTGGGGTCAATATATTATATCACAGCTGACTTTCATTGTTATTTTTCATGTTTAGGTGTATTGTTTGGGACGTAATAATGAACTCTGTTTATTGACATGACCATTAAATTAATGTTGTGGTGACCTCAGGAAGAACCAGAACAGGCAGACACCAGTGGCTAATTACATGTTATCCAGAAATGAGAATTTAACCACTACACCACAAAATCAAAACGCAATTTGCCATTAAGTGACGGTGATGACAACACGGTATTTGTGCAACTCCAGGTGCACTTGAGGCCACATGAAGCGTGGAAGGCTCGCTGGCAGGAGGTCAAGGGACAGACCCAGGTCTTATGGGTTGACTGCCAGACATGATTGGCAGAGAACAGCAGCTGGCGCTCCCCTTCCCACCGTGCGCCACTTGGCAATGTTTTACCACCCAGCTCTCAACTCGTTGTGAGCGTCGCTCCTCTGCACTATTGTTGTCAGTAGGCGACTGCCTAAAAACTGCCCAGGAGTGTCCTTCAAGAGACTCCGCCACAGAAGCCGATCTTGACATCGCTGGTAACAGTCACTGTGGAAGTTGGATCAGGCCTAAGTCCTCCTGAAGCACATCAGCCCCATCACTTCTATAGATGTACCTTGTCCATTTAGTGCCTTATATCTGGCCAAACAGAAGCTGTTTTTCATATTCGGAAATGCAGCGGCTGGGCATGCGGGTAAAATGAACCAGCCGATTTAAGAAACTTTGCCTGTTGGAGTAGCTTACTGCAGGGACTGTGTCCAGCTCTTCAGCGATCTGTGGGCGTCTCACAGGATCCCATTTAGCACTCGTGATGGACCGCAAACACGACAACCTCAACGTTTCTAATTGACGCAGGTATTCCTGTAAAGAGGCCCAGGTTTCACAACTAATATGAAGAGAGGGCATCAAATGTTGCCAAGGAGACCTGAAGCATGCATTGTTCTGCAACTGATCAAAAATAATTGTTGCTTGACTAATTATTAGTGAGACATATGTCACCATACCAGAGCTGGTCATGAGCACGCTGCCCAGGTATGTGAACTACTCCACCCTGTCCACAACCACCCCATTACTCATGGGCGAGTTGAGGGGGGGGCATTCAATGATGATGCCAAGTATCCAGGCGGGTGCTTTGTTTCAAGTTTGAGTAAGGCCACACTCATCTCGTGGCAAGCTCCAGATCCAGCAGTAGAGTGGTTCTAATACTTTGTCAGAGTGGCAATTGCCAGGTCATCGGCGAACCACGTGGTTGAGCCACGTTCGCCAATGACCTGGCAATCACCGAGGTGCAGTGAACCAATGATTACGCCGATTAGATGTACTAATGTTTGATATGGCTATTGTTCCCAATTGCACCCACAAAATAAATACAATTTTAAAAAAGCTAAAGCTGCGAAATCAGCCTCGCTTTGCATCTCTACCGGATGGAAATTCCACTTACACAGTGATAGAAAGCTTGGCGATAATATGTTAAGTGGTAGTCGAATCGTATCTACATCACAGCCATACGAAAGAAGTAGAATCGCGGTCAAGATTCGAGGTTAACGCGAGCCTAAGACCGTCGACCAATTCCACCTCGGATCGTGGATCCTCTCTCCGAGGTCTCCCGTCATCTTTTTAACGAGCTCGACGGGGAGTAGGGGAAGGAGGCGGTGGGTGCGGGGCGGGGGACCGTGTCACTTGCCAGCGGTGCCCGCGAAGGACGTCACGATTCATCCCTCTCATGTCTCCCCCCTAACCCAAGTAACCAACTAAATCCCCATAACACCCCAAACGTGCAGTAGGTACAGCAGGCAAAAGGAGGGCACCTTACCTGCTCCTTGAAGATCACCCATAATGAAGGCAGCGTGAGCCGCGCCGCTGGCGGATTTTAAGCGAGGCTCGGGAGGCCCGCGTCCGCCTACTGCCGACGGCCCGGGGCCCCTTGAAGATCGCCAACCGTGGCTGGAAGTGAGCTCGCTGCCCGGCGTCCGAGCGGGGCCGGGATCGCCGCGCTCAATTAAAGAGCGTTGGGGAACAGACCACATTCCCGTCGCACCCAAAAGGTGTCGAGGGGCATGGCCCCGGTTAAAGCTTCGAGGGCCCCTCTGCACGCGCACGCCAACTTACTTACGGTGCACGACTGTACATGCCCATACACATTCAAACACGCATGCATTCGCATTCGCACGCGCACACACACAAGCACTGGCCCCGCGCGCCGTACACACACACACACTTCTGCACACCCACACACGGGCGTCCCCCCCCTCGCCAGATTGTGGCTTCCGCCTCCCCAGCGCAGGCCCTTATCTCCGGGCTCGAGATGGTGAATTCTGTGCCGCAGCCCTGCACGCAGACCCACGCTCCCGAGTGCCGCAGCCAAAGCGACGCGCGCGAGCTTGAGCTCGTGTGCCAGCGCTCGCCGACGCCGCTCGCGGCCCTATCGTACGTGTACAGCGCGTTTGGTCATTCCTCCGCTGGATGAGGGCCTACCACAGCGCGTGGGGTCGTGCCCACTGCTTGCCCACACATCCCCACGCTGCTCAGGCCCGTTAGGCGCAGGCGTGGAGCTTAGTCGCGGGGAGCAAAAAAAAAAAGGTATAGTGCAATAATGGATTCTGCTGCATGCACGAAGAAACTTCTTTCGCACTGTACGGAGCCAGCCGTGCTAATCGGAGGTGCTGCGCCGTCCCTCTGTTGACCACACGTAACGTAGGGCTATTAAACCCGCGTATTGTTTACAATTTACAAACCTGTGTACATTGTGTGGCAGACGGTACACGAGAAAAACGGAGCGGGCAAGACGCAATATATGAAACAGGCGATACAAATGGGACAGCAAATGAGCGAAAAAATCGAACGGATTCTCGAATCATGTCGAGACATATAATGGAGACAATTCAAACATTGTCGTGAACGGAGGAAGGTGAATCGTTACAGGCCCGTAAAAATATCATAAAAATGTACACGCATTGCCGAGCCACTATCAAAGGCTATCCGTCGCTTTTTTG